CTCGGAGTCTACCCTCCTGCTGTCGGCTTCCATGCACTCAGCCTCCCGCCTCAGCGTCTCGATGTAGCCCATGAACAGCGGCTCCAGGTTGCTCTCGCAGCACTTGCGGTTCTGGTAGAACTGCCACTTGGTCTCCAGCAGCTTGTTCTGCTGCTCCAGGAAGCGCACCTGCCATTGCGGGTGGGAGGAGGATTAGGGGGCTCCTGTGGCCTCAGAGCCAGCCCGGGATGTGGAAGGGGCATTGTTTTCATTGAACTCCCCAGCCTGGAGCTCGGGCAGCAGGACACAAGGTGCCTTCCCGGTTTCCTGCTGTTGGTCTGGGCCTAATTTCCCAGCTTGGGGATGGGGACAAGAGTCTGGGAATGGCCAGCGCCTGCCCTCAGGTGAGTTACGACCTGATGAGTCCAGGTGGCAGGTGGCAGGTGGAGGTCTCAGCCCTCTCACTCTGAAGCCAGGTGAGGCAGGAGTCCGCGCAGGCAGTGCACCCGTATTCACACCGCAGATGGAGTGTCTGAGGGGTGACTATCAGGGAGACGAGGTCCCATCCAGGGGAGCTCGGCTTCTAGGTGCTCCCCTTCTTCATCTGGCACCAGTGCCCCCTCAGAGGAGCGCAGTCCCCACCCAGGGTCTGTGCAAGCCTGTCTGAGTTCAGCAGCAGGGGGGTGTTCCTCCCGGACCTCCTGAATATAGCCTATGCCCCGGGCAGCGTGGCCACACTTTTCCTCCACAAGTTCTGCCTCTCTCAACTGTCAGCTGAGTCTGTCTGGTTCTTTTCTGCATCTGTGTGTGTGTGTTCTTCTACCACCAGATGAGGTTCTCAGACAGGCAGAAATATCTCTGTCTCTGAGCTCTCCCCTTGTTGTGCATCACTGGTTTTACTCCTGGGTGGGGGTTCAGGAATGGTGTGATCCAGGACACCCACCTTGTCGATGAAGGCCGCGAACTTGCTGTTGAGACACTTGATCTGCTCCTTCTCCTCATGCTTCACGCACTGGGCACTGGGGTCGATCTCCAGGTTGAGGGGCGCCAGGAGGCTCTCATTGACCGACACGGTGGTGATGCAGGGGGGGCTGGGCCCGCACACACCGCCGGAGCGGTAGCCGAAGCTGCGTCCACAGGAGCCATGGCGGAAGACCCCGCCGGCCGCGCAAAAAGTTCGCAGGAAGGCCACGGTAGCAGGAGATACCGCGGTAGGGGGCGGCGGTGATGCAGCAGCGGCCGGGCCGGGGCCCGCAGGCTGAGGCGCAGCTGAAAGCGCGGCCGCAGAATCCTGATCCACAGGTCATGATGCTCCTGGACGTTTGGTGGCAGAAGACTAGAAGGAGATCTGGAGTTCTGGTGGAAACTCCTTGTGCTACTCTGGGCTGGCCAGTCCTATTTATGCTCGGATTCAGAAGGGGCTTGGCTAGAAAGATGGGGCTGGGACAATTTGAGCTTTATGGGCTTGGGCGGTTAGCTGGTCCCAACGCCTCTCCTGAATGTGCTTTAATGGCGGAGTGGCCCGCACCCTCTTTGTTAGGAATGCCAGCTCCTGGGCCATTGGGGGACTCAGCATGTTTCATCTTCAAAGTGCCTTGCCGGCAGGGCATGCTCTCATCCGTGCACCGAGAAGGGGAGGGCGGGAAGAATGGGGCCAGGAGAAGGGGAGAAGGCAGGCCAAGTGCCTGGGTAACTGAAAGGAAGAGGGATCCGGGGTGGAGTGTGATGTGGGGAGGGTAGGACCCAGAAAGACCAAGTGCAGAGAAACGAACACCTACCTTCCCCCTGTGCTAGTGACTGCAGTGCTTCTCTCATTATTCGGTGGGCTCTGAAAGATACCTGGCTTTTTGTGCTGTGGCAGTAGTCCGCAGGTTACTAAATACTTGGCTTTTTCAGATTTTATCATGAACGTTTTTAAGCCTATGGAAAAGTCGAAATAATACCAAACACTCCTAGGTACTCCTAAATTCGACAGTGCTAGCGTTTGCCGTATTTGCTTCTGCCCTTGCTCAGTTACTTGCGGTCACAGAAAGCACGGCGTGACTCCTACAAGCTTCAGCTAGCGTTCCTTAAGAAGGACAGTTCCATTTTTACATGCAACAAATTCACAATAATTCCAAAGACACTCGCCTACTATCTGTTTCCTATTCAATTTCCCAGTGGCCCTAAGGATTTTTTTTAAAAAAGAATTAACTTTTGTTATTATTAACATTTGTTATTATTATTTTTTAATTTGACCAGAGACAGAGA